GACTTGCAGGAAAAATCGCAGCCAGACACACACACAGACACATAAACACCAACGCATTCTCACCCCAAGGCGTCACCTTTGACCATGCTTCAATATTTGACGTTTTAGGCGCCCTTTAGCGTCACTTACATGACGCGATCCTACGGCGTCATCTAACTGACGCTAAAGGAAAGCGTCAGTTCGAGGACGCGGTTAGGTTTAGGTGTGGGGTGGGGGTAGGGTACACGCGATCCTAGGGCGTCATCTAACTGACACTAAAGGGCGCCTAAAGCGTCAGATATTGAAGCATGTCCAAATGCTTCCCAAGGCGTCAGTTAAGTGACGCCTTGGGGGTGAGAATGGGCTGTAAACACAGGCAACAGCCCTCCCCTCCACTCGAGGTGGTATGCCCAAACTCCCAGATTTCCGCAAATGCTTTGAATTCTGCACTCGAGAATTGTGGACCATTATCCGACCCCACTTCATCTGGGATCCCATGTTTCGCAAAGATATTTTAAAAGCTGTCACCACATGTTTTCTTGTTTAGCAATCTCCAGAAACTTTGAAAAGTAATCTACACACATCAAATTTTTACCTCTGTCAAAGAGGAACAAGTCTACTCCTACTTTCGCAGAAACTCTGAGTCGAGCCTACCTAAAAGAACAAGCGTAACCACTTCTGGAAGATGAGTTACAAGTTCATACTTTGTCAGTTTGTCTGCCAATCTCAAAGGAAAAGCAAAATACAAAATACAAAGCAGCAACAGCAGAAGATGAAGAGTTGCAAAAAATCGTGGAAGTAGTTCAGTCAGGGTGGCCTGTAGACATAAGACAAGTTCCAGCAGACATAAAAAGTACTGGACTTGTGAATTTACCTGTTCCGATGGGTTTCTCTTCAAGAACTGGGTAGTGGTTGAACAAAGTTTGAGAGCAGACATGCAAAAAAGAGTTCATGAATCACAAATGCAAAGAGAGGGCAAGAGATTTGATGTTTTGGCCCAGTATGGCAAAACAAATTGAGGATGTTGGGTTGAAGTGTTATTTAGCTATGCGTGTGATGCGCGAATCGGTGGGCGGGGCTAAACCGGCCGTGTTAAAGTAGGCGTTGATCTTCTTCTGAGGGGGTGGTGTTTTATCCTCTTTGACGCCATAGTTCCCCCACTTTGAAAAACTGAGTCGTTTGCTGAGACTGTTGTCAATAAAAGCTTTTATTGGACTAACAAGGATGTTTTCAGTTCTGAAACTTACAGGATATTCTTATAATATGATGACTTCTTAGATGTCAAAAGCCTTTAACACTGGGACATTGCTCACAAGTAACTTCAGTATTTCAAAGCGCTCCTGTTGTTCTGACTCCCAATGCCATGGTACATCTCCCTCTAGCAGTTTCCTCAGCAAAGCATTGATTTCTGACATGGAATGAACTTGGACAGAGACTGAAGCAGGCCTATAAACCTCATTAGTGCAGCTTTGTCCTCTGGCATGTTCTGTATCACTCTGACTTTCAACCCTTCTACAGTCAGAATGTGTCCAAAATAGCTGACTTCGTCATCCTGATCTTGCACTTGTTTTTGTTCAACTTTACATTGATGTGGGCTTGGTTTGCTTCACTTTGAATCCAAGATCTTCCATTCGTTTCAGTTCCATTTTGACCCTGTCCTTTAAAGCTATGGGTACTTTTCTCATAAATGTTGGACACATCCTAAACCATTTAAACCATTACTTTACCCTGTCTCCATCGTGTGGCCAAAATATGTAACTGACGTGCATTTGACTTCTTTAGAGTTGTTGTCTTGTTTGAGATTTTCTTAAAATATTTAAATGACAACACGTTGGACTCTGCTCCTATATCTAGCTTAAAGATAAGTATGGATTTGTTTGTTCTGAGTTCTTGAGTCCATTTCTTGTTTTCAGTTTCCATGGTAGAGACTGTATTCATTTGTGTCAGCCATTTGCTATAGCTGTTTGCTCACTTTGTTCAATTTCTATGGCACCTATAAACAATTCAGCATCTTCTTGTTGTTCTTTCTTATGGACTTTTTTCTCAAATTTTCTCAAAGCACTTCAAAATCATCCACATGGCCATCAAAGTCCATGGTATTAAATACCTTTATGGCATCATCTCCCACCATGTGAAAAAATGTCACAAATTTTACCTTGTCACTCTTTTCTGCAATGCCAGTTGCAGTTAGATAGAGATCAGAACTTTTGAATCCATGTTCCCCAGATTTTCGCCAGATATCCTTCAAAATCCAAACTGTTAGTAGGTTTCAACTGATCCATAGTTTTCTTCTGACACCATGTGATGTTTATTGGATGCAAGTTTGAAGAATTCATGAAGACACTGGTTTCATGCCTTGCTGTTTTACTGAACTTTCTTATTCTTCTCTTTTATAGGTTACAACCCAACACATACACATCTTTAGACTGAGAGCGCCATCCTCAGGTAAAGAATAATAATACCTTACATCACAGTAAAAAAAATATAAAGTTGTACGCAATGTATACAAGATAACAATTCTGTTTTGGGACTAGGCTAGATAAGGCTTAGGTGTGGCTCTGTTTTGGTTTACTTAAAGGTGCAATACCTAAGATTTTTGCATTCAAATATCCCAAAATCACAAGGCTAGTGTTATATATTTAGTTATGATGATAACTCACAATATTCCAAATGTTTCAAACAATGTTTAAATCACGAGAAAATTGAGATTTTAACCAAGGAAACGGGGCATGTGAGCAGGGGTGAGCTGGGAGTCGCCAGTCGATCGCGTCATATCCGCTTACCTCGGTTTCCGCTCGTACTACGTGTAGTCCTGAACAAATGCGGAAGCTGTAGTTGTGTGTTAGCGTCTATTAAACAACAAACGTCAGCTTGTTTCGCGCATTTGTTATGGAATGGAGCACAATTATTCTTTTCATTTATTCTCGGAATGTGAACTGTTGGCTGTAAAGGGGGTCACACACCGGACGAGAAGCGTCGCGCCACGTTTAGGACAACTCCACAGTAACATTATCGAACACCGGACGCGCACTTTCTCATCAGTGTATGGCCAGCAATATTGTTATGTTTAATGACATGAAATGAAGATAATGTCTGTTCTATGTTAAGATTGTACTGTACAATTAAATACAATCGTTGCTGAGTTTGCATTCTGAAAACTTTACCTCAGAGCATCCGTTCACTGAATGAATTGAGAATCTCACCTGAAAAATCTAATGATAACATCAGCAATTGTCATTCAAGCAGCTGATTTCTGTAAATGACTGCAAAACTAAATGCATATTGCAGCATAGGGCGAAGTCAGGATCCATTAGCAACGATTTGAGCCAAAAATAATTAAAATTTTATATAAAACTATGTAAATGGCGCTCTGTGGCGCAGCAGGACTTTGAACACGGTCCTGAGACGTTGCTGGGCGCCGCGGACAGACGCCGAATGGCGCTGCCGGCATGTGTAACGTTACACTTATAGATAATAATGTTTTCGAATTTTAAAGATGTGGCGCGACGCGGCGCTGCAGCTTCTCGTCCGGTTTGCGACCCCCTTAACGTTAATTTTGTGAAACTGTAGCTGTGGTTGAATACTTACACGACATGAAAAGATGCGTCAAATGTACATTAAATTGATTTTTTATTTTTATAAAGTTACCAAGGAGGACCAGCCACGTCAACTCCTTGCAAGAGACCTGCCCCTTCAAACCCTCTCCACCATAGCTTCGTCCAGTGACTCGTACAGTAACTGATTTACTTTTAAACCTGACTTTTCTTGCGGTTATTTCAGTTTAATGAAAAACAAGCATGTCATTAAACGCAACGTTTATAGAAATTGAACTTTACCTCATCCATGACAACTAATTTTCGATTCCCGTCTGACTGATTTATCCACGGTGGAGTTGAAAAAAACAGTTCCCATCATTCCGCGTTCCTCCACGTCGTCATCAAGCAAAGCCGTTGTTGTTGTTTTGAATGTAGCGCCCTCTAGCGGCATCTAAATCTTAGGTATTGCAGCTTTAAGGCTGATAATCGATACCAAGAATAAAACCAATTCTGTCTCAGGACAGGGCTAGTTGTGGATGTTAAATGGATGAGTGTCTGGTTAAAAGCTGGTGTTGATATGCTTTATTAATAGCTGAGAATCAGTGCCACCCACCATTAAAACCAGTTCTGGCCCAGTTCAGTCCCTGTAATGGTTATTAAAGCAGCACTTTGCAGGATTTGCGTTTTTGTCAAACTGTGACCCCTAGAGTCAAGTGGAGTACTTGTACTGCCAGAAATAGCACTCACTCAGAGATGTCTCTGCACTCAAGGCCTGATCCCCTCCCCCTGTATACCGATACCTGTTCAGTAAGATGGAAGCTGTAATGAGTGGAAACCCTGTTGAGCTGTCAGCAGTCTGTATTGTATGTGCCTCGAACACCACATATTCATAGAACCGGGTTATTTCTGTTTGATGCTCATTTTAGCAGATCTTTCTTGCCGTAAAGCAATTCGTTACATTGCGAGACCTGATATCACGCGACACTTCCTGATGCTGCGGCCGGTGGCTCGCTGGCTCAAAGTTGCAAGTGTGTTTTTTTCCGCTCACAGGTAACAGGGGGGAGGTGAGACGCCCAGCATTCAACCCGAAAATAGTCATATAACCATTGCAATAACTCCGAAGCTATTCAGTTAAGTTAAGGTAAAAAAAAAAAAAAAACTGTATAGTGCTGCTTTAAATGGCTGAGAATTGGGCTAGTGTTGGCCCATGTGTGGTCCATGTCTTCAGTCTGGATCATTCTTTGTGGTAAGTGGGCTGAGGGAAAAGGGGTTCTGTGGAACAGAGCTGGGCCAGATAAAATTTGCTATGTGGGAGTAAAACCAAAGATTGGCCGTTTAATATACCCCAAAGAAATGATACCTTGTTTAACCGCTATCTACATACAATTCCCAAAGGACTGGCCAAGATGACGCTGTTCTCTGCAGGTTCATGAGAGTTATATAAATATATTCATAGAATATAAAGAAGAAACAAAGACTATGATATATACAACATAGTATGTATTTAATATATTGTAATTTCTACTTACATTTTATCATCAATATAATTTTCTTGCCTTGTCAATAATCAAGTTTGTGGTTTATCCAGCACATGGAAATTATAATATATCAGTTCATTAAACAATCCATTTCTATTTAGATTTCTTTCTGTCTATCTGTCTTTCTTCCTTTCTTACAAATGCTTCATTCACAAAACATACAAATTATTGACATGTTTCATGCAGTAAGTCAAGGCCTCATTCATATAGAAAGCACATAATCTTTGCAATGTAAAAATGGCTACATTTCCAATCAAGAGTCTTTTGATTTTAGTGGCTCTCCAGCTCAGAGAATTACTGGATGAGTCTTGAAAAATTACTCGATGAATACACGTTTGAAATTGTCCATAGAAGATCTAAACGAATAGTTTGCCCCAAAATAAAAATTCTGTCATTTATATACCTGCATGATTAAAGTTAAAATAGAGACTGGAGCTTTCAAGTTTCCAATATGACCATATGGAGTGGAGCAAAATCCTCCTTAAAGAATTCTAAAAGCGAGTCTGTACACTTAAATATCTGTTTGTTCTTCTAACAATGCTAATCTTTTTTTTTTCAATGAAAATCTTGGCATCTGCCCAACATCTCCTTGGCTAGTTCAAGAAGTGATTCCTGATTCAACAAGTTTATTTATTTTTTTAATGAATTTAATGTTTAATCTGAATCACACTACATTATTAATTCGCAAACTTGGCAAACTTCTTCATTTCTTTACACGAGACTGTTGGTAACACTTTATTTTAAGGTGCTTGTAATAAGCAGTAATTAACAGTTAATAAGACACTTATAAGATCATATAAGATGCATGTAAGCATAACTACTTCATATAAGGGTTAATTAAAGCACAAGACGAACCCGGAGAGGCAACTGAGCGGCCCCGGAGTGGTCATGACCCAGCTGGACCCCAGGGATGGAGTCTACACTCACCCTGGCTGTAACTGTCGTGAGCCTTGTCAGCGGCACGATAGAAGTGAAACAAAGCGTCCTCAGAAGTTATATGAAGTAGTTAATGCTTATATGCATCTTATAAGTGTCTTATTAACTGTTAATTACTGCTTATTACAAGCACCTTAAAATAAAGTGTTGCCAGACTGTTAATTGAAAAAAGCTCTTTTTATGGTGCTTGAAAACTTTATTGACAGTTGAAAGCTGCAGTCCCTATTAATTGTGATAGCACTGGAAAAATAACCAGTATATTCAAAATTTCTCCTTTTCTGTTCCACAGAAGATGGTTTTAAAACAGATTTAAGGATACATATACTTTCTTCAGAATAGATTGTAACTGGAATGTTTGTAGCACATCTAGGTGCTTTGTTTGAGAAGCTTCAATTATGTAAAAATATCATATAGTAATATATTGTCCCTTTAAAGATATATAGGCATTGTTTACAATTAAATGATTTCATAGAAACCCACTTTTACAAACGATTGAAGAGAAAAAAAGTCATAAACGGTTGTTGCATTGTCATGTATCATATATATATATATATATGTACCCATAACTTTTACCAATACCCATAACTTTTTAGATTAGATGATACATTGGTTCTTTTGAAAAGTGGAAAAAAGTTCTCAGTTGAGACACAAGACATTAGAAAGATTATTCGATTTGGCAGCTTTTTATAATAAAAATACTAAATCCAGTTCCTTTTTGAGTAATTAAAACAGATCAAATTCCATACATTAAATATGGTTTAATACTAAGCCACGGCCCTCAAACTCTCCTCTGTTCTAATCAAAGGAAGAATCTATGAAACAAAGCAACATTAAAGGCATGCTACCACTGACGTTTGATTTAGCTATGATGAGAAACCATTGCCTCAACCCCAAAAGACCCTCAAATATCCGAGGCACTCAGTGGGTGGCCTATCGACTAAACCTCACCTTCTAATCGCTTCAACGACAAGGTCACATTTTTCTACACTTAAGTTTTTTATTTTACACCCTCGCATGATGGAAGAGACGAATGTGAACAAGAACACAACAACGTCACCACTGTGAGAGTGTTAAAGGGTGTCCCATTTTTCCAGGTTATCTCCAAAGGGTCTCTCGTATCGTCACAACACAGGAAACTCTTATCTGCGCATCTATCTGTCATTTAGTTTGGGCGAATCTGCACCCTCCTCTTCTTCATCTTTGTCGTCTTTCGCCCCAATCAGTCGTTGCCGAGCAAAGTCCTCGAAGATGATGTCATCATCACTAGGGACAAACAGTCAGAGAAGAATTCAGTTGTTGTGTTGTGCAAAAAGCACTTTTTCCCCAGTTAACACAGTCTCATCCCAAAAAGTCATATAACTGACGTCTTGGGACGTTTTTTGACCGTACGTCAATATCCGCCTTTTTAGGGCCCCCTTAAACGTCGGTAGATGGCGATCCCGGGCCGTCATACAACTGACGCTTTACCTTTAACGTCAGTTAGGTGACGGGTTAGGTTTAGGGTTAAGTTTAGGTCTGGGGTAGAGTTAGGATCCCATAACCTCATCTACCGACGTTTAAGGGGGCCCTAAAAAGGCGAATATTGACGTATGGTCAAAAGACGTCCCAAAACGTCAGTTATATGACGTCTTGGGATGAGACCGGGTTGCCCCAGTGCATTACACACTGTTGTTGTTTCTTATAGGCATTCAAAAATGTCAGAGCTAAAGAATTTTTAGGTAGAAGTAGATGTTTTTGTTCTTTCAGAAGATTCCTTTTTGAAGAAAAAACATTTATTTGAATATAAAAATTAAATATATATTTAAAATTATATATATATATATATATATATTACAATAAATTATTCACTACCAGTCAAAAGTTAGGAATAATTAGGATTTTATAATGTTTTGAAAGTTTCTTCTGCTCACCAAGGCTACATTTATTTGATCGAAAAATACAGAAAAACAGTAATATTGTTAAACATTATTACAATTTCTGTTTCTATTTTAAAATATTTTAAAATATTATTTTTTTCCTGTGATCAAAGCTGAATTTTCAGGATCATTACTGGTGTCACATGATCCTTCAGAAATCATACTAATATGATGATTTGCTGCTCAGGAAACATTTCTGATTATTATCAATGTTGAAAAACAGAAATCATTTGCAACATTATAAAAGTTTTTTCTATTTTAAATTAGAAATACAAGTGGGTCGCATTTGTATTTCGCTTCGGAGCCAGACGGTGAATGCTGTTTTTGTTTTATCGCCATTCACCATTGTGTAGCCACGGCCATCTCCCTGTGCGCTTCGGCACCAGAGAGAGCAACTTCGTAAAAGAGCAAACACAGTCTGAATCAAGATGTCATTCAGACCATGTGCTGACAGTCATGATCGCTGCATCACGTGCTTGGGCTATTGGCATGCTGAGGTAGAGTTCATGGATGACTCGTGTCCTCACTGTGGGAACATGACCATCACGGCGTTACGATTGAGAGTCCAATACCTCGAAAGAGGTGGAGCCCCCTCGCATATTTCCCGATTTGGTTCTTCTTCTGGCCAGAAAAAGCCTACTTTGGTTAATAGCCTTGATGACCTGTGGATCACAGTGAGGGATTCCCCGCCGAGTCAACCTCCTCTGGCCCCTCACTCCTCTTTAATGCAGCAAACCATGCAGCTTCCAAGAGAGCATGCTGACCCTCCCCGGGGGTGCCAGTCGTTTCTATTGGGGCTCCACCGGATGATCAGATGTCGGTTGCTGCATCGGAGGGTGAACTAATGTCCTCGGGGTGAAAGATTCGGCTGCACTGCCCCCTTCCTGTGTGGCAGCGTTGCCCGAGTCAGACCCAGAGCTCAAGGCTGCGCTTTCCTGGGCCGCCACAAGTGTTGAAACCAGTCTTGTGCCTTTTCCTCCCTCACTAACCTCAATGACGGAGTGGCTAAAGGGTATGTGGAGTTCCCCCCAGTGGAGCGGTCTGTTGCAATGCAATTGTGTCCCAAGACCGCTACCCTGGGCGTGCATGTTCTCGTCCACTCTCACGGGTAAAGCTTACTTAGCCTGCGGAGAAGCTGCCTCCACCCTGTGTGCCATGGCGCACCTGCAGGTCTACCAGGCCAAAGCGCTCAATGAATTTCATAAGGGAAGTTCTGACACAGGGGTTATGCAGGAACTGCGTACAGCGACGGACCTCGCCCTATGGGCAACAAAAGTCACTGCACCTACTGTACACCTGAGGCTGAACCTGGCGAACATGCATGAGCTAAATAGGCAGCAGGCAGCAAAAGCAAGAGGAGCGAAAAGAAAAAGAGCAAAACTCTCCCCTGTGCAGAGGATTTATTAAAAAGCGGTTCCCTATCAGTCGGTCACTCTCGACGAACATATTGACCGACAAATAGGAATCTCATTTAAGAGGCCAATCTACTTCAAGCGAAACTAAACGAGCAAATGCACGTTGGCTTGCAATCATTTGCAACAGCTGCTTTACCACGCAGCACAGGGCAATTGCACTTCAGCTTTTTGCTTCAGAGCCGAGCACTTCGATGCTGATATCTAAACAGAGTGTGAACAATTGCTCAGGAGGATCTCTAGTGGCTGGTGCGGGCGATACAGCACGGCAATGGGGTTGATTTTCTCTCTATCTTTTGTTCCCCTCAAAGAACTTACATCCAGGATCCAAGAACGCCATCTCTGGCTGTCTCTGGCTGACATGAGAGAGACTACGCCTGTCGCGATAATTAAATAACCGTCTGATCACGAATATTTGATCTAACCGTGATTGTTTTAGACAACCGCGATTATTGCGCTCTTTTATAGGCCTATGCCACAAAGGGGAGTCATGGACCTAAAGAAATAGACAAGCACTAATTAAGTTTTCCTGCTATATATTCAATGCCATTGAAGCCATTCCATTGCTTAATGTGAGCGACAGATGTATATTTACATTGTTAAATTAAAGTTCACGGAAATTCGTGAACCGGTCAAAATTCCTTGTCCGGTTACAATAGGATGCATGGTAAAACTCTCTCCAATATGATTTATTCACGTGACAATCACACCAGCATGCCGCCAGACCTTCACCCCATGGATCAACCAACAAGGTAGTCTATACCCCACCTCGCATGTCGCAGCATGCCCACCATCTCCTCCTCTGGAGTCAGAAGCATCTCAGGTCACTTCGGGCCATGTACGTCCCCGGTGTGCTCAACTTTGTGGCCGACGAGCTATCATGAGCTGTGCTCCAGGGAGAATGGCCACTCAACCCCCAGGCGGTTCAGCTGATCTAGAGAAAGTTTCAGGATGCTCAGGTAGACCTGTTTTCCTCCTCAGAGAGCTCGCAAATATTAATTTTCCCCAGTGAGCCTACTTCCACAGACCCTGTGCAAAGTCAAGGAAAATGAGAAGCAGGTCCTTCTGGTGGCTCCCTATTGGCCTATCCAGACCTGGTTCCCAGAACTCATGCTCCTCGTGACAGTCCCTCCCTGGCCCATTCTTCTGAGGAAGGACATTCTGACTCAGATACAGGGAACCCTACGGCACCTGCGTCCGGACCGTCCAGCGGAGGTTCTAGGTGACTTACCCCCAGAGGTACTCAACGGCATCACTTCAGCGAGGACGCCGTCTACGAGATGTGCGTACACCTTGAAGTGGAACCTGTTCGTCGATTGGTGTTCTTCTTACCTAAAAGAGGACCTGGCTATGTGCCAAAGGTTCCTACCACTCCCAAATCCAAACCACTCTCCAAGCAGAGGTTGGCCCACCAGATAGCGGATGCAATCGCCTTGGCTTACCAAGTACAAGGCGTGCCCTGCCCGCTCAGGTTGCCTGCTCACTCCATGAGAGGTGTTGCATCCTCCTAGGCACTGGCACGTGGCTCCTCGATAACAGATTTCTGCTGTGGGCTGGGCGACACCCAACACGTTCGCTAGATATTATAGCCTATGTGTAAAGCCGGTCTGCTCCCGTGTTCCCACCTTAAATGGGTTGAAGCACTGAGAGGCTCGGCTCTGTTGGTCTGCTGCACCCTACTGTGCATCCTTTTAACTACAGTGTGAAAAACCTATTGAGTCCTTCAAAAACCCTTGGCCCGGACGTGGCAGAGCGTTTCTTACAAAAACATGACAAACCTTAATTATTCCAAATTTTTGAACGGTAGTGTATATGACTGACAGAATTTTTGATTAAACAAAATAAATGAATACATTAAATTAAACCACCATCCAAAGACATATGTGTAACTATAAACTATAACTAAATTTATGACTATAAAGCTCAAAGCATTTTAGTAGTTTAAAATCCAATTAAACAAGAATTTCACTTACTTTGTGTCAAATTCAATGAGGTTTGTGTCAATGGGGGCATCGTTTTCTGGGGCTAGAACAGAAAGGTTACAGAAATTAACATTGAATTGAACTCTATAGGTAATATACTTCCATTTTCAATTTAAATAAAACTCTGTAAACCCCATTTATAAGGTCTCCGCACATAGAGATGTTTTTATTTGTGAAAACAGTCATTATTTTTGATTTTCCCCCGCTGGCACCTTTTCAACCAAACAACAAAAAAGCAATAATTGTTCAGATAAATAAAAAAATATTTAACTTTAGACTCTTCTGCATGGATTTTTAAAGCTGGAATTCAGTACTTAGGACATGAACTTTAAAAGTCTTATATTTAAGTATATCTTTTTTTTTAAATAAATATTTACATTTTGATTATATTTTTATATGTTACTCAAAAAATATACATTTATATTTCTTGTACAAGTGAAAGTATATGTTTTAGGTGCCAGAACATACTAAAAATAAATCATAACTAGATCAACAAATGAAAGCAGATAAAAGGCAGTCTGGCAAATACCATCTCTGTAGAACGATTCCTCCAATGGTTTGGGATGCATTAATGTAAAGGGGAGCTCGACTGCAACATCACTGGAGAGGGAAACACAAATCATGCATCCAGTAGACATGATAACCAAATAAACGCCAGCCAACACTGCTCCTAAACCTCAATCCCACCACTCATGCGGTGCTAACAGAGTGCTGGAACCACAGGCCTAAAAGCATCAGCACAAATGGTCCAGTAATTGATGGCATCTTATCAAGTGTCTGAGCCTGTCTGTGTTTCTGGCCAAAAGCTTGGCTACTTATAGGAATCTATAGTATGCACAATGGGCTGTGTAAGACACACTCTTCAGTTTACGGTCATGTTTTAGTAATGGAACAGCTTTAATCCGGTTTCAAAGTGAAGGTGTCAAACATTTACACACGTAACACAGAAACAGGGAATGAACAAAAATACCACAGTACCTTGAGGCAAGATCTCCCAGCAGTCTGAAAAAAACAATTAAACATGATCTTACTGTATTACAATAATTAGCGTAAGGCATTATTGATTTGGTGTGTCATATTGACTCAGCAAAGTCATTTTAATTTAACCCTAGAATGCATAAAGAGGCTCAAATTGTACGGTTAGTGTGTGATTTTCACTTATTAAATTATTTGATAATCGTCTCTGGTTACGTATGTAACCTTAGTTCCCTGAAGGGAACGAGACGCTGCGTGTAATCGCAACGGAAACGCCTTTGCGTGTGTGCGTATGAAGCACGTATGAAATCAGTCCAATGGCGAGACGGAACGTCATAGGTGGGGTGACGTATCGACCAGGAAACTATAAAGCACACCAAAAACACAAGCGCGACAGATTCTGATAAGACTGAAGTGCTCACGGGCATGCTGGGAGTATGGCGTGGACACGCAGCGTCTCGTTCCCTTCAGGGAACTAAGGTTACATACGTAACCAGAGACGTTCCCGTTCAGGGAACTTCGAGCTGCGTGTAATCGCATTGGGAACGCTAATACCAACGCCGCCATGTGAGCAGGTGTCCGTAGTGTGAGATCACAAAGCATATTCTGACGAAAGCACCTGCGCTGCCGGAGTGGAGCTAAAGTCAAGATGGTAGAACTTCACAAATGTGTGCGGGGAAGACCACCCCGCTGCATCATAAATGTCACCAATAGGAACTCCTGACACAAATGCCTTAGAGGCAGCCATAACCCGAGTAGAATGAGCACGGACAGCCAAAAGGGAAGGCTGACCTGCCGACTCATAAGCAAGCGAGATGGCCTCGACCACCCACTTACTCAGCCTCTGCTTCGATGCCGGACAACCTCTCTTAGGAGGTCCAAAGCAGACAAACAGCTGCTCAGATTTTCTCCACAGGGCAGCTCTGTGGACGTAGGCATCCAGGAGATTTAACCTCTCCTGGTCTGAAGTCCGGAACGGAGGAGGACAGAAGGTCTGCAGGACGATAGGCCTGACAACATTTGTCGGGACCTTAGGAACGTACCCCGGTTTAGGGAGGAGAAAGGCCTTCGCCATACCGGGAGCAAACTTAAGGCACGAGGGAGAAACCGACAGAGCCTGAATATCTCCTATCCTCTTCAGGGAAGAGATGGCTAGGAGGAAGATGGTCTTTAAGGTGACAAATTTTTCAGGGACATCTTCAATGGGCTCAAACGGTGCTTGGCAGAGCCTGTCCAGAACAACCGCAAGGTCCCATGTCGGTACCCTCGTGCGCACTGCTGGCCTCAGCCTCAAAATACCATGCAGGAAACGGATTACCAGTGGGTGTCTCCCGAGAGAAGCTCCACTCAAAGGGACATGGTAAGCTGACAACCCCGCCACATACACCTTCAGTGTGGAGTGGGATAACCCTGTGGAGAAACGCTCCTAAAGGAATTCCAGCACCGCCGACACCGGGCAGTTAACTGGGTCCAACTGGTGCTCTCCACACCAAGAGGTGAACATTTTCCACCTCAAGGCATATAATTTCCTCGTGGACGGAGCTCTGGACTGGAGGATGGTCTCTACGACCTCGGTCTAGAGACCTGACTCTATGAGCTGGGCCCCCTCAGAGGCCAAGCCCACAGCCTCCAGAGATCTGGGCGGGGGTGCAGTATCGACCCGCACACCTGGGAGAGAAGGTCCCCCCTGACCGGAATCTCCAACGGAGACCCATCCAGGAGAGAAATGAGGTCCGAAAACCACACTCGGGCTGGCCAGTACGGGGCAATTAACAGTAGACTGACCCCGTCCCGGCGAACCCTCTCCAGAACTCCTGGGAGCAGAGCAATCGGGGGAAAAGCGTACAGGGGTGACCTCGGCCACTCCTGTACCATCGCATCCACCCCCAACGGGGCTGGTGGACTTAGAGCGAACCACAGCGGGCACTGTGAATTCTCACTGGATGCAAAAAGGTCTACCTCGGCACGACCGAAATGTTCCCATAGGAGCTCCACCACCTCGGGGTGGAGTCTCCACTCCCGGGCCTCGGCCCCTGCCTCGACAGGATGTCTGCTCCCTGATTCAGATAAACTGGAATATACATCACTCTTAAAGAAAGAAGTTTCCCCTGGGACCCCAAAAGGATCTGGCGAGCCAGTTTGTACAGAGGGCGAGAGCGCAGGCCCCCCTGATGGTTTATATAAGAGACCACCGATGTGTTGTCTGACCGGACGAGCACATGGTGGCCCCCCTCAGGTCTGACAGGAAGTGTTTCAAAGCCCGAAACACCACCAACATCTCCAAGCAATTTATGTGCAGATGACGGAGATGGTCCTGCCACAGACCCTGGGCTGAGCGACCACTCATGATCGCCCCCAAGCCTGTGAGGGAGGCATCCGTTGTTATAGTCACACGGTGACACGGAGCTCCCAGCAACGGTCCCAGGGATAGGAACCAAGTCTCTTTCCACATAGCCAGGGCACGGAGGCAACGTCGCGTGACCCTGATCGTGCGGAACGGGTTTCCCCTCGGGGAGAACCCTTTGGTTCTGAGCCACCACTGTATCGGTCTCATATGCAGCAGGCCACGAGGAATAACGTTGGACGCTGCCGCTAATAGACCCAGAATTCTCTGATAATCCTTGACCGTGAGTGACTGGCCTAGCTTTGCTTGCCTGACAGCTGCGAGAATCGCCGCTATACGGGCAGAAGACAGATGAGCCTGCATCGTCGTTGAATCCCAAACGACGCCCAGAAAAGTGGTCCTCTGTACCGGAGAAAGCACACTTTTTCTTGGTGTTGAGTCTCAACCCCAACCTTCTTATATGGGCGAGGACAACATCTCGATGCCGAATCGCCTGATGCTCCGATTGAGCCAGAATCAACCAAACGTCGATATAATTCAGAATGTGAATGCCCTGGAGCCGCAGCGGAGCCAGAGCCGCATCCATGCATTTCGTGAAGGTTTGAGGAGACAAAGCTAGGCCGAACGGAAGAACCCGATATTGGTACGCTTCGCCCCCAAAAGCGAACCTCAGGAACTTCCGATGTTGTGGAAGGATGGAAATGTGGAAGTATGGGCCCTTTAGATCTATCGTGACAAACCAGTCCTCGGATCTGATTTGTGACATGATCTGCTTGAGAGCAAGCATTTTGAACTTGAGTTTCCCCACAGAACGATTTAACAGGCGCAGATCTTAAATCTGACGTAACCCCCCATCCTTCTTCGAAATGATGAAATATCGGCTGTAATAACCTGACTCTCTTCAGTAACAGCGTTTCCACCTCCTGTTCCATAAACAGAGCCTGTTCGGGGGCCACCACTGTGGGTAAAACCCCCCGAAAGTGAGGCGGGCGCGATCTGGATCGCTTGCGATGTTCTGCAGGACCCATTGAGACACATTTGGAAGACTTTTCCATTCCGCCAAAAATTCTACTAGGGGTACCAGTCTCTCAAGACTGGCCTCTGGATGTTGTAAATCGCTCCTCTGTGTCGGCGAGCGTCCCTCGGGAAAACACTCGCCGGGACCGACCACGCCCCCACCCGCAAGCTGGGGCACGCGAAAGAACGGGCACCGTATACAGCGGTGAACACCTCTCTTTCACGGTGGGGACCACCCTCAGCACCCTGACAGCACCCTTGGCGTCAGGGCTTCTTCAACGAGGTCTTCCTGGCGACAATAACCGTTCACAGATCAGTTTTGTCCCGGGAAGACCTCGCCTGAGAGCGCTGCGTCTCAGCCCAGTTCTGCTGGGGAGGAGCGCAAGACGCGACACTCTTCTTTTGTTGCGCCCTGTGCGAGGAGCTAGACGACGGGCGGGGCTGCTCCCGCCCAGCAGCCCCGGAGACATGCACCCGGAGGGAGAGATATTTCTGGAGCGCCGCTGCCTGCTTCTTTTCTTCCTGAAACCTCTCGATGAACGAATTTACAGAGTCACCGAAGAGGCCAGCAGCAGACAGCGGCGCATCCAGAAGGAAAGCTTTTTCTTTTTCTTTCATATTGGACAAATTGAGCCAAAGATGCCTCTCCGACTGATCTGGCCATCTCCTTGGTGGCACGGAGAGAAATATCAGCTGCTTGACGTAGCTCTCTTATAGTGTCCGGGCTTATAACCTCCCCCTCGCTAATATCCTTCAGTATATCTGCCTGGTAAGCCTGAAGAATAGCCATAGTGTGAAGACATGAGGCTGCCTGTCCCGCCGCCGAATAAGCTTTGTCCACCAGCGCCGAGGTATTTCGAAGCGGCTTGGTGGGCAACGCCGGCACTTTAAAGGACGATGCCGTATCAGGAGAAAGGTGGCTCGCCAACACTTCCTCCATCCTCGGCACCATCCCGTACCCATTACTTTTTGCCCCAGTGACGTTAGAGTACATCGATGTTTGCTGGGTAAAAATTCTAGCAGAAACTGGTCTGTTCCAAGATCTCGACACCTCAGTGTGTAGATCTGGAAAGAATGGTAAATGCCGGCGTGGAGGTAATGAATGAGATGAAAGAAAAAGCTCATCTAGTTTACTTTTCACTTTAGATTCACGCTTCTCTGCTGGCCACTCAATGCTTAGCTTCTGTACTGCACGAGTTAAAACCTCCATAAGCTCCTCTTGTGCTGGAGAAGCCGCATCGCGGACCTCCGCCCGATCAGAGGCGCCGGATCTGTCAGGTAAGGGCAGAGATAGAGTCCCTTCGGAACTTGTCTCCATCCCCGCTGACAGATCCATCTGCGATCCCCACGATGCAAGCCTTCGCCGTGCCTCGGCAGCAGCGGGACCCGAACCGCGGGGAGCGCAAACCGAGCCACTCTCCTCAAAGAGAGCCCGGCGGGAGCGGAGCGTCTTCATGGGCAGACGCTCGCAATGCTCACAGCCAGCTCCCTCGAGCTCTGACTGAGCATGCTGTACTCCCAGACAAGCAACACACAGGTCATGTGTATCCCCACCCGTGATGTATCGTGGGCAGGGAGGAACACACTTCCTAAACTGCTGCTCGCTCGCCATAATGATCGTGTCTTTTTAGTTTTTTTTTTTTTTAATGTGAAAAACTCCTGCCTAGAAATCTCTAAGGACAGACAAAAACACTTAATGGACAGAGACTGATATGATATCACAAAGAGCGCTTGCTGAAGACTTCAGAAGTGTTTTTGGTGTGCTTTATAGTATCCTGGTCGATACGCCACCCCGCCTATGACGTTCCGTCTCGCCATTGGACTGATTTCATACGTGCTTCATACGCACACACGCAAAGGCGTTCCCGTTGCGATTACACGCAGCTCGAAGTTCCCTGAACGGGAACTGTGTATTCTTTCTAAGTCATGTTTGTGCCTCATTTAAAGTACATATTTGTTGGTCATGGGTTCAGGAAAATATTTTTGTTGTTTTTGTATCACTAACCCTTAATATATAAATATTTATACTGTGTATATATAACTGTATATGTTAATAAATATATACTGTTATAGTGAATTACATTTTTATTGTATATGTACATGAATATATAAAAAATAAATATATTTTCTTTTAAAAAATCCACTGAACCAGTATGGGTCATCTTGAACCCCTTAATGCATTAGTGCAAGTTTTATGGTCATGCACTCTGGGTCTAAAATAAAAATACTTTTCCAAGCAATTTGACTAATAATGTAACAAGATTTTTACTCTTTCTAAATGTTTTTTGAGTTGTCCTCCTCTCTGCTAAACTCAGTTACATTGACAGAGGCTGCATCCGAAAATCGAATAGTCTCTTGAGTAGGTACTTAGTTTGAATAAGTAATTACTTCCTTACTGCTAAAAAGTATGTTCTGTATCTTATGGAATATGTATAGTAAAATTGTAATCTGGACAAACTACATCCGCTAAGTTTTCATTATCATGTGATCTACCAGCGTCATTTTTATTCGCATCACTCCCATTTACAAATCCTCTCCCGTGGCCTCATTGGATAGTAAAAGAGAACCATCCCCCCCACCCACCCAAATTTATGGTCAACCACATAAATATCATAAGTTTACAAATAAAAATCAACCCGTCCTTTGGATGAGACGTTAAACCAAGGTCCTGAATCTCTGTGGTTATTAAAAATCCCATGCCACTTCTTGCCCTGACCAAATTACATCCAATGGCCCTTGCCATTAAATTCCTGGCAAGTGCTTTGTACATTTTTGTTAAGCAAATTGTAAAACACATGAGTAAAATGCAAACTTACCCTCCGCGGGACACCACCAGCTTCACTTTCACCTTATAAGAAACAATGATGCCCAGAATTTCTTTATTGGCTCCCTCTCTTAACCTTTAAAGACAACAATGCCATGGAAAGGTGAATTAATAAACATGACAAGAAACACAACACACTTTCAAATGGAAGAATCAGAGATTATACTTACAATGTACTCGATGCTAAATTTGTGTCTTCATGTTTGAGTTTGCCATCCAGAGCCAAGCCGCGTTTCTCTCGGTTATTCGCCAGGAATGGGGTGAGAGTGTATACTTTGCAAAACGTGGCACTAGGAGCCACAAAATCACTAGAACACGGCACAAAGCAGAGAGCAATGAGACAGATGTTAAGGTGTGTTCTCATCCGGATTAAGCGTATGGTTTAGTTTGCAGTGTACATACTCTGATTCCTCTGTCGCCACTGGACACTTGTACTGGGCAGTGTTGAAGAGGCAAATATCAGCATATTGACGCACTGCAACGTTTTAGAATAGAAATAAATGTTATTGCCAAAAGTTTCTTAACTACATACTGATGTAAATACAAAGTCCATCTATATAAATAACTGAATGACCTGAAATCTTCATTTTTTTTACTGTCTTGTTTGTGTTGTTTGTGACATGGACGTTGACACTAATTGGTTCACCATGATAGTAAATCTGAAAGACATTATGCACATACAGCATCATGCAAACAGCAAAACGAATTGTTAACAGCAGCACAGGCCCTCCAAAAAAAGCTGTACTCTGTACAGTTTGTGTTTCTGAAAAAAATTGTATATTATTATTATCTACTCATTTGCATCACATTAAGATTATTAATGATTATATACTTTGTCTATGTTAAAACTGCGTTATCTAAATGGAATAAACAATTCAAGTATATAAATATTAAATTTAGGCCTAAATATTTGTGATACTGTTTATCTTATTTGTGAATTTTTATTTTTATTTTACAAAAGGCATACGATTTAATACGTCAAGTCTGTAAATAAATCGAATGAATTTTCATATGCCAGATATTTCTAATATATATTATTAGATACTACTCTTAGATAATAATAGTTCTAGTATCCTACTATACTGTACATAACATTGGACCCACAGCATTTCAGTTGTAATGCCCTTTTTCCATCACTAGATGTAGATGTATGTCAGTATAGCCGTAAATCCTACTGCTGTTGCCTTTCCTCAATCAAACGTCAGATATTTCATTTTATTCAGAGCAGCTGAACACAAACCCACCTCTTTGTCAAGTGAGGCCTCCAGGTGTAATGGTTTGTCTGACATGAGAAACTGCCTAGTGGTTTCAGCCATTGGCTGCGGGCCCGGCTTCTCTGGAGCATACTGCACTTTTCTGATGACGAGACGCACTGAATTCCTGTGAAAGGGCCAGTAATAGGAGAACCATATCATAATTTGTGACATTTATTGACTTCAACAAAAATATATGTTGGAATCTATGTAATAAATCTCTGTGATTTTCTGGATCATTTAGACCATAATCTTTCTTCAACAAATCGCCTTTTTAAAGTATCATTTATATACATGGCACAAATGGTATGAGACTATTTATGAGTGTGAGCAAGAGTAATAAATGTGAATGTACACAACAGATTTCTAGTTCCCAGCATACTTTGCTTCTGACTGTTGAAGTAGAGTAAACGTTAAAATGAAGTGTTATTTAATTGTGTTTTCCTTGATATTAAAGGGCCCCTATTATAGGAAATTCACTTTTACATGGTGATTGAACATAAATGTGTGTTGGCAGTGTGTGAGCGAAACCACCCTAGAATGATAAAAATCCACCCAGTGTTTTTTTTTTTTTTTTTACAATCTCAATAAATCATATGCACTGTCTCAGAACGAGCTGTTCTAAGATTCAGCCCTTTGTGACGTGGAATTGAGCAAGGGTTTGATTGACAGTGTGGTTGTGACCCCGCCCTCGCATAAATGTAATTTCGCTTGTACATAGCAAACTTTATCACAGTATGTGTATATAGTTTTAAAATATTTTGCGCCAACGTTAGTGTTTGTGTGTGTGTTGCACATCCATAATTTCAAAGGGGACCCGATAACAACTCTATATGTGCATAAATGTATCAAATAACCATACCGAGACGTACAGGTCCATTCTCATTTGTGTTTATTCTTCCGAAGTCTCTTCATGATCTGGGTCTGATCAGAGACTATTTATATATTCCGATTCAACATGTTCGGCTGAATGACATTCAAAACAGCGGGTCTCTCACTCTCAGCCCTTCTACTTACCGACTGCCATAGGTATCGAGTTACGCCCTCATCCAAAGGCAGGACAGGGATATGCAGCTCATTTGCATTTAAGGTCGTATTCCCCAAAACAGCTCTATTTTTAACAGGCCCCAAAATGACATTTTCAAATGGTTATAATAAATTAACTGTGGGGTATTTTGAGCTGAAACTTCACAAATACATTCTGGGGACACCCGAGACCAATATTACATCTTGTAAATAGGGGCATAATAGGGCTTGGGCGCCGCGTTGCATTCTGGGACGTGGCGGCCATGTTGGAGGCTTCGTAAATGTAAACATACCAGCGAATCGAATGAGGAGAAGCAGCTGAGTTGGGAGAAAGAAAATAAAAAAAGATGGTAAAATCCCTAAAAGGATGCGGAATTTACCGGGATACGTTTAATAGGGAAACCAGGGACTGGTATGTGGATAAAACGGCACTTTTAACGGGTTGGATCCATTTGAAATTTCCAACAAACAGTGGGAGCACAGTACGTTACGCTAACTGGACAAAGGTAAACTGCGCTCCACCTACCTGCTAGTTTAGTGACAGTTATAGTGCAACAACCATTCACACATTTTAACTATGTGTTTCAAAAGTGTAGTTAGTAACGTTAGCTGTTTTAAGCACTTAAACTTAAGTTAGTAAGCAAAACGATGCTTAAAGCAAGAGGGTAACAGTTTAGCAACAGGACAACAGAGACTGACAGGTCCGATTAAAGGGCTAATGTTAATGTTATGAGAATATTAAAATACGGGATATTTTACAGGAATATACTAAAACGGGAAGACAGCGGGAAAAGAGATCAAGTACGTGAGAAACCCGGAAAAAAACGCGAGGGTTAACGTTACTAACAATCTGTCCGGATTACCCTGTTCCCACTGTTTGCCGACTCTTTGTTGGAAATTTTTATATGGATCCAAACCGTTAAAAGTGCCAGTTTAGTCCACATACCGGTCACTGGCTTCCCTATTTAACATATCCCGGTAAATTCCACAACCTTTTAGGGATTTTAACATCTTTTTTCTTTTCTTTATCCCAACTCCGCTGCTTCTCCTCGTTCGACTTGCTGTATGTTTACATGCGCGTAAGCCTCCAACATGGCCGCCACGTCAGTAATGACGTCACGACGCCCAAGCCCTATTGGTGCCCTTTAATATATATAGGGTGAGCTCTATTAGTGTTTAATGTTCTATTATTTTGTAATTTAAAAGATTTCTGGTATGTGTGAGTTTTTGGAGTTCCCATAGAACTCCAGAGAGTAGAGCCTGTGGTTCGGTGGACGATTGGCCGAAGACCATTAAGAGTATCTCACTTCAGGGGCGTAGGAGCCATTATACGTGTGTGTGTGGGGGGGGGGGGGGGGGGGAGACCTGAATCAGAATCAGAATTGCTCCTACGCTCCTGTCTCACTTTATTTAAAAAGTAAAGGCTGTGCTATCTTCAGCACAGTGATAGTCACCTTGATAAAAAACTGTAGTGTATACGTTTTGCAAAAACACATACCAACAATGTTGCAAACATGTGTGTCTGTTATTCAGTTGGGTGCCATTGTGAAAGGTTATACCTTTTGTGGATTTTTTCTTCAACATTTTCTGCACAAAAAGCTTTGACTTCAAAGTCAACCCCGCAGGCCTTTGCAGACAAGAAGAAAGAAAATATTACTCTGGAGAGTGCAGAATTCTGAATAGCCCTTTTTACGTATATCCATAAAAAAAACAAAAAAACATCATAAAACATTATTTGCAGGAAAATGTACCTTTCCTGTATCTTCTGGCCCTGGTTGTAACGTGACAGAACAGGGTAAATTCGGAGTAATCTGTGAGTAAAGGTTTGACATTTAAATTTGAGATTGAAATGGGGATGAAGGGACCTAATAACATAACATAGTTGCCATTATATTAAGGAAATCATAAAGAAGTTTCACCTCGAAGGTGAAGGGGTAAGCATGTTCTCCGAGTTTCTTTATCAATCGCTCTTGTAGACGTGTCAAGCCCTTTTTCTCTTCAGGCACGGGAGGAAATGCCTGGATGTTGGCCACAAAGAGGTCTTTGCGAAACGTCAAGCCAAGAACGTCCAAGTCCTCCCGTCCATAGCGGAAAGCACACGTCAGTGTCACAAAAACTGTGGGAGAATTAATAACATTAACTGTTTAGTTAATGGATTTACAGTCAACTTTGTTCTCCCAGTTCCTAATAAAAGAAAACCAGCAACAAATGGAACAATTACTGACATAGACTTTAGTGTACAGAGCTACTTTGATATCTTTAAAATCTGAGTATGGTTTGTAACTGAAACCTCTTCTTAACATGTCTTCTTCTTAGGAGAAACATCTGTGCATCAAGGAACTTCTGCAAATGATCTGTTCTTCATTTAAAGCGCCTCCATTATGTTATTTTATACGTTTGCTTACTTTTTTGGGGGTCTCCTACAATAGGGTTTCATGTATGGTCAAAAACACTTCTCATAATCTACATTGTAGCATCACATCTTCTCTCACAGTGTCTGAAAGGATAAAGGATTCAGCCTCTCTAAATTACTCCTTTCTGATTGGTCAGATGGCCCTTCCTCAATACATGATGTTGGTTTTACCATATCAATTCGAGCCAGATTCCTCATCCTTTGGAAGTGCATGTAAAAGTGGATTTGCTTTGACAGTGCAGAGAACATAGTCTTTTCGACATGTCGACAACACAGATCAAACTCTTCCAGACTCAGCTACAACAACAGTGTGTAAGGGTCAAAGTAGACTATGTTTGCAGGCAGCCATTGAAGACCATAGGTTGGCATTATGGAGATTTGTTACAAACCCACATAATTACGTTTGAGCAGTAAGACAGGCTGGAATTAATAACGATTAATTACAGTCAGTTCAGAAACTCCAACACTATCTCACGACCAATTCGTACGAATTCGACGCATGATTAAAAAGTGGCTAATTCGTACTAATTCGTACGACCTCACTCGTACTAATTCGTACGATTTGTCTAAACCCGAGTGATGGTTAGGTTTAGGGGCGGGGTAAGGGGTAGGTCATTCGTACGAATTCATACGAATTGGCCAATTCGTAAAATATGTACGATTTAGCAAAATCGTATTAATTCGTACGAGTGAGGTCGTATGAATTGTTACGAATTAGACACTTTTTAATCATTCGTCGAATTCGTACGTCTTGGTCGTGAGATCGGGTTGGAAACTCCATTTATCCTGCACTTTCATCTTTAAAACTTTGCAGACCTTTTACACTCACAAACAGCTTTTAACACACTACATGATCTATAATATCCGAAAAAAGCATAATAGAGGCACTTAAATCTTGTTTAGGAGGAACAACTGTGGTATAAACCGATTGCTTTTTTTATGAGACCACATAAATAACATATTGCTATACCATGGCTCTTAAAAAATGGAGAAAAAAGGCTCCTCACCTTTTCTTTCTTTCAAGTACTCTGGATCAATTAAAACCACACCATCTGCAATAGGAAAAAGATAGATTAGGGGTAAAATGTCAGCTGCATAACAGCTTAGCTATGAAATTATTGTTCTTTATTACTTTAATTTTTAAATTGAATTCATCAACTATTTACAAAGTTAAAAGGTAAAATTGTGTTGTTGTTTTTTGGATTAATACAGAATAATTGTGTTAATGTCTTTTACTGCTATTAAGGTCAAATACGGGTAATGTTAGGGACAGGTTTGGTGGTATAATTAGGATAAGTTGTAAGGGAACAGTTTATAAGTAATTACAAATGAAGTACACAGACTTATTAATTACAAAGAAATTACAATGTAACATGTTTACTAATATACTGTAAAGTTAAACTAAAATTTAAGATTGCGATTCGTTTTGCCTACCGACAGGATCCACAAGGTCCACATGGTCAACGAAATCCCTCTTACCAAGGTACACAGTTAGCTGAAAAGACGATCACATAATTAAAATCAGCATAATTCAAACACAGAACAATTTGAACTGAGCCAAAATGCCAATTTGCACCATTGCGTATGCACAGTTTAATATTTATCTTTCATTCAATTTATCAAAATAAATGCTTTTATTAAGTATTAAGTTACTAAATGTGCATTTTGATCAAGACCAATTTGTACCATTCAAAAAATATATGTTTACATATAGTTGTGTTGTGCTGATCCTTAGAAAAGCCTTTTCCAGCTTTGCAGAAGGCTGGATACTGAGTCACATGCCCCTCTTTCATATTCGCCCCACGCCCGCTTCCTGCTCAAGGACTGTTGTGGCGCACCACAGGTCTCCCTGCTAATGATATAGACTCCAGGCTAGGCTAAATGCTAACCGCACAGCCGTTTTGAGCTGGTACCCATCAGTCTGGCTCACCATCACAAGAATCAAATCAAATTTTGGAACAAGAGATTCTTTGTTGCTCGATATTTGTGGTTGTTAAGACATAACCATTTCATATCAGGCTATATGCTGTAGACACTGACAGAAAACCTTTAAAGTGTCAGATTCTAAACAATAGTGGACATGAAGGAGGGACAAAATTAACGTGATATATTACCTTTCCATTCGGACTTGCCTTCTTGAACACCCTGTGGAAATACAAGAGTGACACATAAGTAGCATACATTAAATTACCCTTTGACAGGTATCACTGAAATAGTGATATCTGTAAAGAAGAGTACAAGTATCTGTAAGAAGTATCTGAAGAATAGAAGTATCTGTAAAGGATGTGAAGAGAGTTTCAACCAGTATAACAAAAATACTTGCTTTGAGTCATGAATTTTAACCTTGTCATATTTATGCATGATCTAACCATGACAGTGATACACATCACCAAATAGTACAGTTTAGGCAAATTGTTATTAAGGTTTTGAAATTCTCAATATGTCTAAATAATGAGTTAATATCTCCAACTTAGCAGTATATCCAACTTTATCCAAAAACAACACAATACACTCAAGTCCAGGGATATATGTATTATATAGTGTAGTAAATCTCAGCCATGATTATATCTTTGCAAAATGTATAATAGCACAGCTATATCTTAAACAAAACAAAAGAGAAAATGAGGGTGTTATGTACACAGAGAACTAACTAGCAAATAGGGAACAGGTGTGTGATAAGATAATCAGTAATTCAATGAATATCCATGGCGACAAATGTTAGGAATAGAAACACAGGAATTACCCATAAACTAATTAAGAATTCTTGAAAAACTGAACAGAAACACTACAGATTGAGACTATACTGTATATTTGTATAAAAAGTAGGATATTCTCACATTTAGTGAGATTTAGTGTAGCTCAACTGCTTGACTGTTTATACCGTTGCAAAATGTAAACTATTTTATCGCAAAGCTCTATATATAAAGTTGGAAATGTACATACTGTAAAACCTAACAGTAATATTTACTCAATTAAATTGGGTTCACTGCACTCAACTGAGACTGAAACTTGAAGAGGCTTGAATGACTGAAACAGAACTCAAACTGAATGAGAACATTTCTAAATCCCAGAATGATAATTGAATAAAAAATATATAGTTAAGTTGATTAATCAATCATCAATTATTAGCGATAATTAGCGATGAATACCTGCTGTTAACATGCACAATCACTGAAGGAAAGAGAAACACAAAAAATGGTTTAAGATCACCATGATAAAGATCAGTGTTTGCTTAAGTTGAGCTCTTGACCCTTGACATTTGAGTACAAGTTTTTCTTTGGCTGCTGCAATTGAGCGTTTTATGAAACATTTGGTATTGCACAAAAGTCAAGGAAAAGTATGATCAGATTATGATGGTCAATGTTTGATGATGACATTCATCACTTTCCCTGATCTTGTTCAGAGTCTAATCTCTGATTATATTATTAGCTGTATTTGAAAATAGATTCTACAACTATTATAGTTCATACAGTATGAAAGATTTTACAGAAAATGTAATTACCAAAACTAACACAGATATCAAGAATCAGCATATGAATCTCAACAATGGTGACCATTGAAAAACAATTCATACAGTAATGCATACTGGGTACTACCATAAAACAAACCTTATCCATGGCTCCCAGCATGCATTGCAGAATGAATCGATTTTAATAATAGTCACCATTGTTGAGATTCATATACTGATTCTTGATGTTTGTTTAAGGCAGCAGGATACCATAGAGGTTGTTAAAATTGATTGAAACAACAATGGGGCTTGCAGCAGAATCGCAGTTATTTTATAATGAATAATACAAGTTATTGTATCACCTGTTTAATCAGATATTATTCTCTAGAAAAGATCAGAATCAAGTGAATCAAGACACCAAATGATGATTCATCATTCCGTAAATCATCATTGAAACTAAATTTTCTTTTGGCTTTTGTGCCATAACAAATGTCTTATATAAACACTCAGTTACAACAGACAGAGGATCAAGAGCCCAACTAAAGCAAACACTGACCACTATCATGGTGTCTTTAAATTAAACAATAAATCATCTTCATCTAAACCTCTGTTCATTCACAATTGCAACTTCTGTAGACGCATGATAAAAGTCAAACTGGTTAGTAATAAGTAAAGCTGGTAATGCTGTTTGTGGAGTTGTTCAATCCTCTGCTGAGATCTTGAGAGATTTAAACATATTTTATCTTCAGTTGATTTTATCTAATATTGTGGTTGGAAGTCAGAAGTAGTTCTTGTGTTTCTTTTTCTTACAGTGATGTTAACAGCAGGTGTTCATCATTAATGGTCAACAATCTCTTAAATAATCACTTTGCAGTATCTACTTTTAGTGAACTCAACTGAAATAATTTCAGAGTACTCATAAATATTGTTTTTTTTTTATATAAACTTATATGAATTGAGGCAATCGGTTTCCTCAAATGAAATGAGTTAGCTTAACTTGGTGGGTTTTACAACTTTATTCACATAAGCCTACATTTTGTATACTTATGTATGGCGATGCAATATAGCAAATCTCAACTGCTTGATTGTTTCTATCATCACCCAGTGACAAAAGTAAATCAATATTTGCTTTGTGTATTGTGAAAAGTCTTCCACAAAAAAAGAAGAAGAATAAATGTACTCAAATATCTGGTGCCATTAAGTAGTTAAACAGCTTTAAAAAGGCCACCTTATCTGCAGCATTTGCACAGAAACCATTAGCAGGTTATCTTACATAGAAGTACTGTTCATTTTCCAAGACATCGTTTTGCCTTTGTGGAAAGATTGACTGCCTCAGTGGCTCAGTCTGAAATAATACCAAATCTATTAGATCCTCACTCACAGTTTTACTTCATTACTTTCACAGATAGCACCCTACAGCAAACAACAATAAATTCAGTCGTAAATCAGCCTGTGCTGATTTGATTGGCCTACGGAAGGCATTTTATCTGTTTGTATATGGCCTAAACGAAATGAGCTGTTTTCTTTCTGGACAAAGATTTAGTATGCCACCTTTCAGACTGATCTCATGAAATAGCGTGTGTATGACACGCCAATTCGTATTTCCATTTTTGGCGTGCTATCAAGACGCATAATCGCCTTTCAGCGTGTTTATGAACGCCGTTGACTTAACGTTAAATAAATATATGACTTACCTCAACCCCGTCCCTAAACCTAACCATCACTGGGGTTAATGGCATTTATGACTGTTCCCTTACCATCCTAGGAAAGAAAAAGATATGACTTACCTCAACCCCATCCCTAAACTTAACCGTCACTGGGGTTAATGGCATTTATGACTGGAGATTTGACTGCGTGTACAGACACGCGGAATGACGCGGACGTTAATGGCGTAGACATATACGCATACACGCGGATAGCTCAAAATGCGTAGAGATAACACGCCACCTGGCGCGAAAGTGGCGTATATGTTTACGCAAAAGTCATGATGTCATGTTGCACCTTTTGTAAACAACAACAGAAGAAACAAATAAAAAATAAAGTCAAATACACAGAGATACTGGCTATGTTCAGAATAGAACAACCAGTAGCAGAGGTCATAGAAGCAGGATCTACGTACGTGCAGCAGCTTTATTAAACAAAAAACAAACTCAAACTTTAACAAACGGATACTCAGGGACCAGATCGGGAACTGAACAACCAAAACAAGTAATGTTAATAGCTGACAAGAACCAGACACAGGATTTACATAGAACTGAAGAGCAAATTAACACACCTGAACGCAACTAACAATCTATCAAACACCATAGAAACAAACAGGCAGGGGGAGGAGAAAGACAGAAGTGAATTAATTGACAGAACTGAGAAATCAAAACAGACTGACAATGTGACATGATCTCAATTTAGTGAAAGGTGTAAAAGAAACCTTGAAAATAAAACTGCATCTTTAATCTAATTATGTTTCAATATAATTATTATTAGTCTTTAAGTAGATGACAAGATCATGTTCTGTTTTGTTGAGTTTCCGTTGGTTATGTTCCTGTTTGTCTGCCCTTATTCTTAGTATGAATCATAATCATACATTGTTCGTTCGTTGTCCAGAGGGGAACTGGCCCAGACTGAACCTAGTGTATCCCAAGGTTTTTTTTCCTCCATCGTGCCACTGATGTAGTTTTGGTTCCTCGCCACTTTGGCTTTTGGCTTGCTTAGTTGTGGACACTTATAATCCAACAATAATATTGATCTGCCTCACTGCCTGCATTGACATCATTATATGAGAACTGAACACTTTTTATTCTGCGTTTAGACGAGCGTTTTGGGTGTGAAATTTGCGTGCAGATGGTGACGCAAAAGTCTGTGAAATTCACTGTAGTATGCACTCCAGGCGGCTAAGAGTGCATACTACAACAACACCAAGCCCGCGCGCTGGCGTACAACCTTCACTCTCAAGCAGAGCTTTGCGTTTTTACTGTTTACACAGATACGCGGCGGTGGAGCATTTAAAAAATTTCCACTCTGGAGGGTGGTTTCACTTTTTTGCGTTTTTAAGCCCCGAAAAACGCTGTCGCCGTGTAAACGAAAGGCACATCCGATAAAATATTTTTACGTTTTCACCCGCGAGCGTTCTCATGTAAACAGGGCCTCAGTTTGCTCTATTTCCAGGCTCGTTCTTACGTCGTAGGAATATGTGTGCATGGGCACTCTTCAAAAACGGTGCTTTAAATCTCTTGACAAAATCAAATATGTAAATGACATTTGTATGTATTCTAAATAAAAGACACAGGTTGTACTGAATGTCAGCTTGCTTATTTTGCTAGAGATACGGATTTACGGACAAGTCCACATGTCATGTAAACAAGAAACTATGCTTTTCTAACCACAGGTCGAGAGCTGTCATTCCAACCACACAACTTCACGATGCTGTTTGCGAATGTTCATTAGAACTCGTTGAACTATGCTGATAACGATGGAACTTGCAACCATAGTTGGCAATCGATGCTTTTGGAAAACACACCCTTGAGATGAACGATGACATCACTGTTTTCTCCAGAGCTGCTGTATAGATGAATTAACTAATTTAATAACTTTTCTACAGCAAAAATGACGCGAAGACCTTTACATTTCTGTGCGTGTATGATATGACGATAGTTTTCCTCAAATGAAACGGTAAAATGCTCATGAAGTGACTCTCGGAGAT